CCCCCCCCTCCCCTTTAATCCGCGCCTGCTATCCTTTTGCATGGAGTAGAGAGTATCAAGAAACGTCTTCTGAGAGTGCATCAAGTGACCTGTGTCACGTTTGTTTTTCAAGTGTGTGCGCACAGCCTTGGTGACCGACACAGGTGTCAAACCCCTGCACGAGTTCGTAAGCGGATGCGGCGTGCACGCGTTCTGCACAGGATCTGTTCTATCAGACGCCGTACACGCAAAAGTACAGTATTATTGTGATAAGGGAAAGTTGGGACATTTATCTGTAGACTTTGTAATGCCTTTTAATATTTTCTTGCAGGTCGCCCAACTCTTAGTATCTTTAAAGAGGCTGTATCCGAATGTTCTGTCCGGCCCAATCCTGGTAGTAGCTATGTCCAACCATGCTGTCCAGGAATTCCTGGTTCGATGCAAAGCATTTTCAGATAAGGTAAGCTTGCATTCTATCTATTACTTCATGGGACGTACAAATTATATCGGTATTGAGTACTCAAAAACCCAAGGGACACTCATCGTGTTACTGTTTTTTTTTTTTCACCCTGTGTCAGCATGCTCACATTAAATCTGAAAGGAATTTCATTTTCTATAGAAAGACGCGTTTTTGTGCACATCTCAACCGGATGCAGATTTGAATCCAGCAAGTAACGAACTGGGCAATAAAGGTCCTTTCAGATTTAGTGTGCCTGCTGCGTAAAAATCTGTATGCGCTTCTTACAACTTTTTGCATCAGTAATACGGAATAATTTCTTTTCACATTACTGAATCAGTGAGCTACTTACAGCAATATAGAGAATCAGTTACAAATAAGCCAGTAATCCTGCTGCGTAAAACCCTTTTCAAGCTACTAATAAATAAATCAGTAGAGTTCTGGGAGTGGACTTTTAACAAGACTAATACGACCTCCAGAGCGACAGGATGAAACTTTGATTTTGGATCAGTCACTCTTAATATGAAAGGACTTTTTCTGTCCACAGAAAGATGCCTTTTTAAAGCAGGGGTCCGTAACTTATCATTTAAGCTAAACGTTTAACCATTATCTCGCGTTATTGACTAGTTAAAAGCGTGCGTATAATGACAAATTTCAGAAATGCGCGGGAGAACAAGTCATAAGATGTGTAACGCCAATAACGCAAGCCGTTCACGAGATACGGATACCCAAAATTCGCTAATGCGATAAGTTACGGACCCCTGTTTTAAAGGTTAGTTGGCGAGGGATAGTTTTTGAACGTAGGCTAGATGTGTCTGTGTGCACATCTAAACCACATCCAAACTCACAAAATTGCTATTAATCGAAATTCTCGTGAGTTATACTAATTATATTTTGTTAGGAACTACTAAGAAAGAGCATCCTAAGAACTTACTAACAAAATAATTAGTATAGTAAATTTGTGAGTATTACTGCTGTATAAACAAGTTCATCGTCTATTTGCTAAATGTCAGTGACGGGCTGAGAGTGCAGATACAAATTCGTATCTACGTTGCTTAATTTGGTAGTTGATATGTTTGCCAGAATTCGGGTAGCGTAATTTTTTGTTTTAAATGGTTTTAAAGCGGTCATTTTTCTCAATCTTTTAAGTTGACACAACTTCGCGCTGGGTGCGTTCTGTGACCCAGAGGGTAGTAGGTGTGAACCGCACGACACTACCGGTTTTGCTGTGTTGTGGTTGAGAATCTTTTACCCGACTTAAAATAAGTTTTTCATACTTTCTGGTTGGGAAACAAATTTGAATACGATTGCGGTGTGCCTAAGGACGCATCCCCCCTCGATACTACATTTTCCTATTTAGAGTAAAGTTTCTCTAACGGATGAAGTTGTCCACATTATTTATTCGCAAGGATGTGTTCTTAACATTTTTTAAGCACATCAATCGTATGCAAATTTGCTTCTGAACTGGACACAAAATAATATTTTGTGCTCGCAGGCTTGACACAACTTGCAACGTTATTTCAAATATATAGAGTTACATCCGACTGACACGTGCTTAAGAACACGTCTTCGAGGAACACCTAATTGTCTTTTCCCATTTATAGTGTACGCCTGCACAAAATTCTCGGTAGTCGAGTCCCCAATGAAAATTTGGTACAGTGAGGGCTCGCTATAGTTCCGCTCTCTATACACACTAAATGAAAAAGGACAATTTTGTATCTATGAGAGATGCGTTCTTAAGCACATCTCTAGCGGATGCAAATTTGCACTTAAATTGGACACAAATAAAGTCATTTGTACCTAGTCTAGGTACATATTGTAACTTTTTCGATACAAATTTTGCAGCATCCGCTAGAGATGTGCTTAAGAACGCATCTCTCCTAGATGCAAAATTGTCCTTTCCACATTTAGAGTG